TAGATAGTCCATGGCCCATGTCCTGAAAGAAACTTTCTATATCTGAGGTCCTGAAAATGTAAGCCGCCTTAAGGCATTTTAGCAGGGAGAGAGCCTTGAAACCACCATGACACACGGAGGTTCACAGCCTTTGTGAAAGCAGACTGGACAGTCCCTGTGAGTCCACAGGAAGCAGGCTGTGCATTGTTAAACCATAGTGGGCAAAAAATGAGGGAAGAACTTCACTAAGAACACACAAACTCTAAGGAAGGATTAAACTACACTTACAGCTAATGTATTCATAGCACTGGGGACCTATTTCAAAATCAGAGGCTGGTTTTAACTTTGTTTGCTATTTCAGAGAGGTGGTAGCAGTAATGGGTGAGGACTTGCCTCCTGGGCTTGGGCAGCGTCAGAGAGCATGGAAGAAGTGAGGCCAAGGCTCTGGGCGAGCCTGACCACTGGGTGGTTCCCACCTTCCTGCTTCTTCACTGCCCATCCTTGCTCTTTTCTCTGATTCTGAGTGCATCTCACCTTCTCCTGGGTTAATCTCAGTGCGTCTTCTTCTCTCTCTGCCTCTGTTTCTACCTCTTCTGCCTTTTCACCTCTCTCAAGCACTAGTTTTGATAAAAAAAATTCTTAACTGATCAAAAGAGAGTTAAATAGCATACTGTTATGTGTGTTTTATTATTGAACAGTATTTTGCATTTCTGCCTCATACAAAAGCAGGCAGGTGGGTGGAATGTTTTCTGTTCATCTGGAAAACAAATATATAATTTTTTTTCTTTTTCATATCCGTGACCCTTGATTATTCCGACCACAGCTCCTCCCCAAAGTCCAGATTTTGAGAACCAGCAACAGAATGAGTCCCAGCCTAGAGCTTTGAGCCTAGAGCAACAGAGGACTTGTGGCTGGTGCCGGGTGTGAGGGTGAGGGTGAGCAGCGTAATGGTAGGAGCATGCACAGGTGGGGTACTAGCTGGGGGTGTGGATGGAGACCCTGGTTAGTGACCCCAACCCCCCGCCATGGCATCAGGATGTACACACTGCCCTGACCCTCCCCGAATTAACCACTCCCCAGGACTGAGCTCATCTGGTGTGGGGCCCCCACACCTCTGCTTCTGGCCAGCCCTGGCTCTGTTCACTTGGTCACCACCTCCCCATTCACTGACACACGGAATCTGCTAGAACAGATTCCTCCTTCGTGTCTCACTGTGATTGGAGGTGGGGGGTCTGAGCCATCCTGGTTCTCTGCTCGGGGCACAATGCCCAGCACATGATAGGTATTCAATCAACATGCACTGGAAAAAGGGAGTGGGATCCCGAAGTACAGAATCTTTCACCTCCCATTTCAGCAGAAGGATATCAAGGTGGGCACCACTGGCCCTGGCTCTGGGGTGCCCATGCTTCTGCTCTCCCATCTGTAGGCCAGCCCCTGCATGCCCCACACACCCACATCCCACCCTCTTTCCAAGGTCCCTCCACTCATCATGAAGCTTTCTGATACTTCATTCCCAGTGGGAAGAATCTTGACCTCCATCTGAGCTCCCCACTACCTGGTCTGTTGTTACATTATTTGGACTCTCTTATGGCAGTTTCCACACTCCCGAGTTAGGTACATGCCAAGACTATCACCCCATAACCCACACAGTGAGCTAGCCCCCAGGGGGTGGAGCCTCCACGATGACCAGATTAAATGAGTAAGGGAAGGCATCTCCGCCATCCCTTGGGAGGAGAAAAACCAAAACAGACAGTCCTGCGGGTTGACAGGAAGAGGATGGGAGTCAGGGGCCAGCCTCCTAGCCTGGCGAGGCAGTGCTGGCCTCTCACCCCCAGCAACAGGGGATCAAATTGTTACACTACCTTGTTGGCCACTGGGTCTCCTGGTCCATCGTCGCCTTTCCCAACACTTAGCTCTGACTGCTTGCAATTAGTATCTGAGAGGCAAGTATCTAAAAGAGTCAAGCTGTGTTATGGAGGACCCCCAGAGAAACTGCAGGGCACAGCTCCTCTCAGGGAAAGCAGCTCAAATGGCAAAAGGTGGTTCCTTCACCTACTCAGCTGGGCCTTACCAAGGAAATAAGATCAAGAAAGTGGTGTTCGTCTTTAGCATTTATTTATAATTGGAAAAACTGTTTGTTTGTTTGTTTGTTTCTGAGCAAGCACAGACCACAAGCACGGCACAATCAATTGGCTATACATGAATATTTTTGTCATTTTCTTACTAACAGCAGGAATGAAATAGCACCAAGAAAGGTGTGCGCTACACATACATAGACAATCTGTGGTACGCAACAAAACCCAGGCCACAAAATCGTAATTAGACGCTTCCGGTCTGCCTTGAGAGCAAAGGCATCAAGGGAGCACCGGCAGAAAAGGAACAGCATTAAGGACCCGACGCACAGCTGCAGAGATCGGGTTTGTGGGCGAGTGAAGCAGATGGTAGGGAGGCTCCAGTCCTCGCTCTTTCGTCAGGGGGGTTCAGGGAACCACAGGGAAGTGTACAAAAACAGGCCGAACAGGTGTTTGAAGCTTGGCCGCCTTCAGAAAGGCAAGGCCAAAACACTGCTTGTGAGGCTGAAATCAGTTTCAGTCAGCATGTTTGGGATGCAGAACAAGACCGACTGAGTTTTGTTTGTAAACAGCAGAAATCAAGGAGGTTTCTTGCTAGTGAAGAGACACATTCAAGAGTCAAAGTGAACTACCAATGGATTTTCTCAGTGGGAGGCGCTAAAAAGATGGGGAGACTAAAGACGTGAAGAGACACCCTACAGGTCATGGAAAGCCTCAGGTGGGGTAGGGAGGAAGCTCGGTGCCTGGGGCTGCAAGGGGGCAGGAAACACTACAGTTTGGACAACACAAGCTTGGGTCAGACACAGAGATAAGTCCTATGCACCCTGGTGGTGCAGTGGTGGAGCCAGATTTATACACACTACCCATTATGGCTGGCCCCCTGTCAGGCACACAGGCCTTCAACAATCGAATGTTGAGGGAATGGTCCCTTGTGTGATGTAAAGTTTTGTTTACTTGATCCGCAAAGAAAACCAGATAACTATTCTATGGAGAAATTCAAACTGTGGCTAACATCAACATGTTTGATGAATAGCAGATATCTCAAGAGAACAAATGTACGTTGGCGAATTTCCTGGACAAAGTTAAGGTCATGTTGATGGAGCTCTCTGACATTGTTTAGACCAGCTAACAAATACCTGAATCAGTACTTAGATCTATTCTAGCCCCTTCCATCGAGGCATCCAAATCTGTGATGCACAAACACTGACACTCATTCACATCTTCTACCTTCCTCAGTACTTCATCCTCACAGTTCCTTCTCTGGAACTTCTCTGGAAGTTCTCTGGAACTTCCATGGAACTGCCTTTTGGAAGATGGCAGAAAGGCCTGCCTGGCCCAGTGCTTTGTTTCTGCAGGTCCTGTCCTCTTAGGAAATAGGGCCTGCATAGTGAAGGCTCAATTAATTTACAAGAGACATATTAATAAGCCCGAAGGGGACAAATAAAATGGTGTAAATGGGGATTTTGCTGCTTGAACAGTCAGAATATGAGAGAGCTTGTGGAGACTCTATTTCCTCCAACCTGAAGGACCTAAACAGACTTCTGACGTAGGGAACTGTGAGGACTTCACTCTTCACCACTTTCAGGACAAAAGAAAAGTACTCCTGAAGAGGCTGGCGTCACACAACAGCCCAGCAATTTCAGAATGCTGGCGACAGGAAGCACCCTGCATACATGAGAAATAAAGGGTACCGAGGAACGTACACGCCATGGGGTTTGCAAATGTAATTGTTCTGGCAGGTATATGGGGTCTTTCCACGACTCCCTGACTAATGCCCACAACACAGCTCAAGCACAGCCGGGGTGGCACTCCCACTCCCGGCTGCTTTGGCTACACAGACACAAGACACACAATACAGGGAGAGCTGCTTTTCTTCAGGAATGAGGTAAAAAAAAAAAAAAAAAAGCTTGCTAATCACCGAGCAGGGAACGCTCCTCATCTTAGGCTAAGTCACAGAAATCTCCCAGAACCTGGAGTTCAGCACGTTCCGTCCTCTCCAAGAAACAGAGCAAGAACAGTCCAGGCAGGGACAGCAATCATTGTCACAGTAGCCGCTATGTCTGCTTCCTGCTGTGTGTTCCTCAGAAGCAAGAAAGCCACATTCTAAACACACTATCGTTACACCTTGAACTTCCTTCCTCCAGTCCCCCGTAACCAGTCACTTTGCAAAATTAGCAGCACTGGATAGGTTGGGGGTTAACAGGAAAACAGGCTCATTTCTGTCACCTTCCTATGATGTCTGGAGTGTACCTCTGACACCTAACTATTTTGCCCTGGCCTCGTTTTGGTCATCAGTGGCACATCTCTTACTCAGCATACAGTTTAAAGCCCACTGATAGGAAACTAAACGTAGTCACCTGTTTCAAGCAAGAGTCTATGAAAAAATTACTTAACAAACACAACTCATTTTATTGAGATTAAGGCCAAAAAACCTTTTTTTTTGTTGTTTTTTAAAAAATATTTCCACAAATCTTGTCAATTGCTGAAGCCCAGGTCAAGCTTCTATAGCACATAACTTTGCGAATTTTGGAAAAGAACACTTTTACCTAAGTTCAAAATTGATCACCAGCACAGACACTGGGGAGGAACAGGAGGAGGATGCCTCATATTCATGTCAAAGCATCAGGACAGTTCTTCCAGTGTCCTCCTGCCTGCCTCACCAGGCGTGCCACCCCTGCTCGGAGGGAGGCACCGCCCTGCAAGTCAGCCGCTGATGGGTCCAGGGGCCCCGTGGCGTGGCCCTGGTCTAGATCTGGACAGGAGGCAAGTTTCCTGGTCACTGAAATAGGATCCCCCTGCTCAGAGAAACCAAAGAGCTCCTAGAACACTCAGGACCCAGGCAGACGGGAAGCCTCTAATCAATTTTGTGGCCTTTTTTGTTGATTAGTGAAAGAAAAAGAAAAAAAAAGGAAAAAGAAGGGAAGAAGAAAGAGAAGTGCAGTGCATTACTCTTTAGCCTCAGCCAGCTTATTGTTCATCTCTGCGCTCTGCTCCTTGTCGGCGGCGGGCGGGGCGGTGCGCGCACCCTCCACGCTCTTCTTCTTGGACGCCCGGCCCGTCGCCCCCTGCTTGTCTTTGGCCTTCCTCGGGGGCTTATGGCTCACTGAGGTCTTTTTTGGTTTGGAGCTCTGGAGACTAGGTTTCTCCACCTGCACAGAGAGACAGACAGACCGCAAACAGAAACACAGAGGGGGCGGGATTTGGAGGGAGAATTTAGAGAGAAGATATGATTAGTGAAAGGATAACCTTAACGAAAGCACAGGACTCTGAGAAGCATGGCATGTAAAGCCCCTTTGCTGACGCCTGGTCACCTGGCATCTCTCACCTGGAGCTCCTGGTCCCCCGTTCTAGCTGCCCTCTTGCTAGCCACTCTGGCTCCTGATGCAGGCTCTGGCCCCCAGGTCCCCCAGGCGCTGGACTGTATCTCTGGGCTGCTGCTCCTCCCGGTGGGGAGATTGTATCTCACTATCCTGCTCAACTCAGGCAGGCACTGGAGTGGCTGTAGTTAATGAAATGTGAGCCAAGGTGACGAGTCCCCCTCCAGACAGAAGGCCAGGAGTCGGCCCATGCTTCCCAATGTACTCGTTTCCTCTGCCAGAGAGAGGCTGCTCCTCACCCTGAGGTTCAGCCTGAAGGGGTGCGGACACGGAGAGCTGTAGCCCACCCACGGTGGACACATGGTAATAAGAAATCAACCTTTGTTGATGGAAGACATCAAGATTCTGGGTATCTTCCATTCACAGCAAAGAGTCGGACATGACTGAGCGACTTCACTTTCACTTTCCGTTCACAGCAGCAGCCAATCTTCCCTGTTTCTGAGCTCCTGTGGACAGACGTCCTCACTGAGAGGCTTGGGTGGGCAGTCTTGCCCAGCGAGGCCTTCAGCTCTGCCCAGCATCCCCTCCTCCTCCCTGGCTGGCTCCCCAGATGGTCTCAGGAGCTGCTGGTCAAGCCCACTTACTCTCCCCAAGCTTTCTCTGCTAGTTCTGCCCCCTCATTCCTAGAAGACGGCAGTGGCTTTTCTTTCAAGAATTCTGGGCTACTGGATATGGTCCCTCAATACGTTACCCTCCTCCCATCCATCTCTGGATTTCCTTTCCCCAATCTTCCCTCCTTCCTCCACTCAGATCTTCTTTTGTCCAGAGCCAACCCTATACCTTGGTCCCACTTCATCTGTAGAAGGGGGACAGAGATGATGCGGGGCCTCACCAGCTGGGTCATCCACTCAGTGAGGTTCAGGGGCTCTCAGTCACTGTCAACCTATAAATAAGATCATCCTGGCTTGCCTAGGCCTGAGGGCTTTCATGGAATATGGAACCATTAATGTTATAACTGGAGTAGTCCAGGCAAACTGCGTTGGGTAATTCCCTTACCTGTAAACCAGTCCTGGATCAAAGAGGAAACTCCACTGGACTGCAAGACTTTAGGGCAAAGCAGAGCAAAGGCTACATAGGTTCTCAGACTTTTTCTGCTATTATAGAAAGGACAGCTGATATTTTCATGATTCCACGTGGCTTGATATCATAGAATAAGTTATGGCATGTGTGATTCCGGCCTCAACAGCAGAATCTCCAACAGGATTTTCCCCTCTCACGATTGCACATCGGGATACAAATAAAGCAAAGCATTGTTGGATGGCATCACTGACTCAATGATCATGAGTTTGAGCAAAACACTGGGAGATGGTGATGGACAGGGAAACCTGGTGTGCTGTATAGATCATGGGGTCACAAAGAGTCAGATGTGACTTAGTGACTGAACAACAACAATTGTCTTCATAGGAAAACACCTGAATCCACCGTATCTTACTTAAAAATGAAAATCATTCACAAACTGTTCATCAAAGTAACAAATTACTTGGAACACTTCTTGCAGCTGATGTGACAGGTGTGTTCTGACAGACTAAGGATTGCTGCTGGATGGAGGGAAGGGATAAGAAAGAGCAGGTGATTTTCAGGGACTTGGGAGGTGAGAAACTGTCCAGTGATTGGAGCAGAGAATGAGGCAGGGGCTGGGTGGGAAAGAAGTCAGGCGAGGATGCCCCCACGTCTGGGCCAGTGCTTTAGGGGCAAAAGCACAGTTATTTTAAGACAGGGGGGTTTAGGGCTCAGGTGAGATTTTCTACCATTTCTTTCTCGGTTTCTTAAAATCAGAAGCTAATTCTCTGGAAATCGACAGTTTTTAAGCTGCTTTCCTTTTAGGTAATGTGTGATCAGTTGCTCAGTTGTGTCCTACTCTTTACGACCCCATGGACGGTAGCCCAGCAGGCTCCTCTGTCAATGGGACTCTCCAGGCAAGCATACTGGAGTGGATTGCCATTTCCTACTCCAGGGGATCTTCCCAGCCCAGGCATCAAACCCTTGTCTCTTGAATCTCCTGAATTGGCAGTCTCCAGAATTTACCACTGACCCACCTGGGAATCCCTGTTTAGGTAATGTTCCTTTAGAAATTCCCTTTCGATTTAGCAAAAGTTGGGCTTCCCTTGTGGCTCAGCTGGTAAGGAATCTGCCTGCAATGTGGGAGACCTGGGTTTGACCCCTGGGTTGGGAAGATCTCCTGGAGAAGGGAACAGCTACCCACTTCAGTATTCTGGCCTGGAAATCCCACGGACTGTATAGTTTATGGGGTTGCAAAGAGTTGGATAGGACTGAGCAACTTTCACTTTCCCGGTAAGAAGCCATTCTATCTTTGTGTGCTAAGAAGGAAAGAAGAGACTCTAAGGAAGCTCTAAGACCCAGAGTTGGCAGTATCTCCGCCCCCATCTCTGCTACTATTAACCCCTCCATGCCAGACTGCTGATGGGTCCCCAGAAGATCTGTCTCACCTTTGGAGGTTCCTTGAAGGGCTCGCTATAGAGGCTGCGTATTCTTCTGCGATCAATGACCTTATTGTCAGCTGGGGTTGGCTTATTGGCCTCCCCTTTGAACTGGGCACTGTAGCTGGTCTCATGAGCCATCTTATCATCTGGAGGCTTGTACTGAGGCTTAGCTTTTATGGGTTTCACAGGCTTGATGTCCGTCCATGCTCTGAATTCATTCCTGCAAATCAAAGAAAAGCTAAGTGATTCGAGACATCCTCTACCTGGCAGCAGGGCCTTCTCTCAGACCTGCAAGCACAGCAAGCTCTCTGTTAGTGCCTGTCGTTCTGACTGATGTGTGGTGGAAGAGTGAACTCTCTCTCCTCCTGCATAAATGTAAGCATTCCTTCTGGCCCAGTCGAGGTAGATTGTGGCAACAGCAGTAGTACCTCAGAGAGAGAGAGTGCAGGCTCCCAGCTCCCACTGCGTGACCATGGACAAGCAGTTCTAATCTTTGGGCCTCCTTTTCACAATATCTAAAATGAGGCTGAGAGAAAAAAAGATCAAAAGCTAAGATCATGGCATCCGGTCCCATCACTTCATGGCAAATAGATGGAGAAACAATGGAAACCATGACAGACTATTTTTTGGGGCTCCAAAATCACTGCAGATGGTGACTGCAGCCATGAAATTAAAAGACACTTGCTCCTTGGAAGAAAAACTGTGACAAAACTGGCAGCATATTAAAAAGCAGAGACATTACTTTGCCAACAAAGGTCTATCTAGTCAAAGCTATGGTTTTGCCAGTAGTCATGTAGGGATGTGAGAGTTGGACAGTAAAGAAAGCTGAGCATCAAAGAATTGATGCTTTTGAAATGTGATGTTGGAGAAGACTTTTGAGAGTCCCTTGGACTGCAAGGAGATCCAACCAGTCCATCCTAAAGGAGATCAGTCTTGAATATTCATTGGAAGGACTGATGCTGAAGCTGAAACTCCAATACTTTGACCACCTGATGTGAAGAACTGACTCACTGGAAAAGACCCTGATGCTGGGAAAGATTGAAGGCAGGAGGAGAAGGGGTTAACAGAGGATGAGAGGGTTGGATGGTGTCCAAACTCAATGGACATGAGTTTGAGCAAGCTCCAGGAGTTGGTGATGTACAGGGAAGCCTGGCATGCTGCAGTCCACGGGGTTGCAAAGAGTTCGACATGACTGAGTGACTGAACTGAACTGAAAATGGGGCTGAAGACTCAATCATCAGTCATTTATGAGCTCAGCACATATGACCCAATGCTGCTGTGTGTGAGGTGAGAGAGTTGTGACTGTTACATGGACGGTGTGCCCGGTAGGTTGTGGTCAAACAAAAAATGCCAGTTCTGTTCCTTCCTTTGTTGTGATGAAGACATTTCGTAACCCTGAATCCTTAAAGTTCATTCCTCCCTGTGATAGCAGAGGGCTTGCTTTTTGTGTGCTGCCTGAAATTTAACAATCTCAATCACTTTAGATGAAAATCCTTACGAAATGTCTAAATGCCTGCAGATCATAAGCGACATGTATTGAACACAACTGGATGTCACTATGAGGCTTGTGTTGGGATGTATGATGTATAGGAGAGTCTTGGTGGGGCTGGTGTAAATGGCGGCTGGCTCTTACCCTACGTGATCCCCATCTGCTGCTTTTCACAGTCTGTTAGCCTGCTTGCTCATAGCACTCTCTCTCCTGGTTCCTGATCTGTTACAGGACTGGTGAGGAGATGGTGACAATGTTGAAAACAGGGTAAAATTAATATCGCTGCTGGTGGAGGCCACCGGGTCTGTCCTGTTTGTTGAGCGCTAGACATTGAGCGCCTAAGCTCTGTGGCTCTGAGCTTCTTATCAGGTTTCCCTTCACTGGGCCGTGAGGAGCTGTGGGAGGGGAAGAGCCAGCGCGTGACTCTCTGTCGAGTTAGGTTCTCCAGTGCCGTCTCTCATCCTCCTGGTAACTCCCTCCTACGGGGCTCAGACATGAGTGCCACCAACAAGAGGCCCCAGGGCACAGTAGAGACAGCGCTCAGACTGTGATGGAGACGCACAAATTCTAGCCCTGGCTCTACCTCTAGGTAGCTGCTGAGCAGGTTTCTCCCCTCCCTGAGTCTTAGTTTCCTCATTTGTCAAAAAAAAAAAAAAGAAAAAAAAGACCGACTAGATGATGTCCTTATAATGTCCTTCGGACTCTGAGGCTCTCTGTGTTGATAAAGCTGGTTTGGCAACGACGAGCTACACCCTGGTCATTTGAGCTCCTGAGGGGCACAGGCTCACATGTGAACCGAGAGACCACAGTTTCTTAAGAGACCTTCCCCAAGCTTCAGGCTCACCTTTCCAGTGTGGCTGGGACCTCCACCTAGATGCCCCCACCAACTCAAACTCAGCATCCCTAGAACCAAATCAACTTGTCTCCCCTGCCACGTGGTCTTCTCTTCTTGGATTCCCTCACTGCTCCATCTCACGCACCCACCCGCCATTCATTCATTCATTAAACATTTACTGAGTGCTTAGGTCTGCTTAGGATGCTGAGCTCAAGGTGTGGGAGTGGGAGGGGTGGGAGGACAATAAGTGAGGCTCCGTGTAGGAGAAGGGGCTGGGAGCACAGGGGAGGAGCTCCTGGGCCAGGTTGGGAATTGAAGGACAGGTTCCGGAGGAAACCACAGAGGTTGGCAGGGAGCTGACGGAGAGAAGGGGTGGGTTCCAGGCAGGATGAGGAGCACACAAAGAGGCACGGCCCCCCAGGAGGATGTGTGGGAAGCTGGGGTGACAGGGCTGAAACCTGGTGGGGGCATGAGAGGCTGGGTACGTCATGAAGTTCCTGCCAGTCTTGCCGAGGGGGTGGTCTGGACTGTAACAGGGAGTTGCCAAACGAGTTCAAGGTGCATGTGGCCAGATTCCTTTTGGGGAAGAGAACTTTGGAAGCAGTGTGAATGGGGACAGAGCGGAGGGGTGGGGCTGGAGGCCAAGAGGGCTATGCAGTGAGCTGGGAGGAAAGCAGAGGCCTGAATTGGGAAGGGGGGGTGCTGGGAACACAGTGCTGAGGGGATGGGCAGGACTTGAACTCCGCTGAGCTGGGGAAGGCCGGCTCAGAGAGAGATTTGGGGGTTTGTGGGATGGGGTGAGAGGGATGTTACCCAGGAGCCAGGGAATCTTGGAAGAGAGGGGGTTTAGGATTAGGGCTGAGACCCTCCTGATTCTGTTAACAGCAGCACCTACTTAGCTTCTAGAGAGATTTTTGATCCTCTCCTCTTCCCTACACCTCTGTAGACTCAACCCACTACCACAACCTGACTTCTGAGCCATTCTGTCTCCACAGCAGTCCCAGCTCTGGCTCGGGGTGTAGCTGGGTCTCTGATCACCATTACCTGCCTGAGGTGCCAGGCCCTCCCTCCTTCTTCCCACCCTCAGTTCCAAAGCCCTGATACTTGGCCCAGGTCTCCCAGTAGCCAAAGCAATAAGAACCTGGCTACCAAAATATGATGGCAGAAACCTGGGCTCTCTGCTCCCACCCCTGCTTGCTTGCTACAGAATGAGGGCTGAGGTAGGTATACACTGGCCCTAAGCACTGTTTCTGGGTCATCTCTCCTGGGCTAGCCTTCGCAGCTTTCTCTCTGCAGTGGCTGGCAAAGGTCTCACTGTGAGCATTATCAATGGGACGTGTCCTTGAGGGGACAGCTCGGTAACCCTGGTCTTGAACAACTTTGGTACATCATCTCTATGTGGGATGTGTTAATGAGTCTTATACTAAGTTCACTACAGTTACGACAGGCTGATAGGTTTAAACCCAAATTTTATTACCTAGGACTTTCTTTGAACCCTCCACAAAGCCTTCCCTAGCCACATGGAACAACTAATCATATGTCATAAAAGAAGAATTATGTACCATTCATTAGTTACCTCTTATACGCTGGAAGATTGTTTTTGTGTATTTTCTATAATCCTTACAATGACTTTGAAAGGAGGTAGTATTATTTTCCCTTTTATGAAAGGGGGTCACCAAGGCTCAGAGAGGTTAAGTGACTTGCATAAGGCCACACAGCTGGCAAATAGCAGAGCTGATTCTCAGCCCAGGTCAGTCGGGCCCCAGAGCCCACCTCCTTCCCACTGCACTTGGACAATGTGCTGGAGCTGCAGTGTGCCCGAGGCTCCTGCCGGTGTAGGGTTGGGCCTGCTGTCTGCAACGCCCTGGAGGCTTTATATGACACAGACTGGACAGAGAATACCTGTGCTCCTCTGGCCCTCAGATGCTCCACCCAGAGCAGTGTGGGCCATGCTCCCAGGTCAGTCACATCTAGTGTCTCTTGCCATGAGTTTCACAGTCCCCTGTAACCATCAATTCCCCTTTCTGGGCCCTCTACTGTACTGTCTGACCCTGTGGTTACCTAGCAGTCACATGATGCTTTAATTCTTTCATGATTCCATTTGTCTCTCTTGGGGGATAAGATACTTAAGAGAAATTTCAGAACAGAACTCTCCTTCAAGTCCAGTCTCATTTGCATGGCTGTAGAGTAATATTCTTTAACTTGCCCTGTGGCAGACTGTAGGCAGGTTAGGGGCCTGGCTGGGTGAGGACCCCAGTCCCCACCTCCCTGCCAGGGCCCTTCCCTCCCCCTGGGCCATCATTCAGAGCCATACTCCATGTCTTTCCTATATTCTTCATAAGACTTGGCATTTAGTAGGCATTTATTAGAAACTGTTAAAGGAGTTCCTTTCTGGTCTGCTCCTGGCCCTCCTCTGAGCCCCTCTTGCCCACCCAAATGGGGCAGTGCTTGCTCCTTGGAGACAAGAGAACATTGGAGACTTCTATCCAGTGTCCATCATGCTGAAATGATGATGGCCTCACCAGCATGGCTCCTTCCCTCACCGGAGGCCCTTTCCACCAGGTACCAAGCTCTGTTATCTGTGTTTCCTTGCTGCCCTGCACAGCACAGCAAAACAACCAAGAAATATTCGGAGGATCAAAGAAAATCAAGTGTTCTGTTCTACTGCAGAGATTTGTGAAGGCCGCTTACATGTGGGGCTTCTATTATTACTTAAAGCGTTAGTTGCTCAGTTATGTCTGACTCTTTGTGATCTCATGGATTGTATCCTGCCAGGCTCCTCTGTCCATGGGATTTCCCAGGCAAGAATGCTGGAGTGGGTTGCCATTTCCTTCTCCAGGGTATCTTCCTGACCCAGGGATCGAATCTGGGTCTCCTGCATTGCAGGCAGATTGTT